GAAGTGCTTCTGTATATCTTTTAGCAAAATTTTGTCACCCATCATACATGACTATCAAATTAACAATCATAGTGTGTCAAGAGTTGATACCATTAAAGATTTAGGTGTCATGATGAATAGTAAATTGTCTTTTCAGGCACATATAGATATGATAACAGCAAAGGCATCAAAACTATTAGGTTTCATTTCTAGGTCATCCACGGATTTTTCTGCTTATACGTTCAGAACGATGTATTGTTCTCTAATAAGATCACAATTAGAATACTGTTCGATTATTTGGAATCCATATTACAATACTCATAAGCATCAAATTGAGACTATTCAGAATAAATTCTTGAGAATATGCGCCTATAAAATGGGTTATATAAGAGGAGATTACTCATATGCTTCAATTAATTCTCAATTAAACTTAAAATCACTTCACTTTAGAAGAACAGTTTCTGATATAATTTTTATAAATAAATTGTTAACAGGGAATATTGATTCTCCCCAAGCAGTAGGTCTTATTAATTTTAATACCTTTAGTAGGACTAGACAATTCGACTTATTTAATATACCACTACATACCACTAATTATGCCTTTAATTCACCAGTAAGTCGAATGTTACGTGAATGTAATAAGTTGAAATGTAAAAATTGTGATATTTTTGGAACTATTAATGCTCTCAGGACTTATTTAAATAATATGGAAGTCTAACATTTTTTTTTGTCTTCATTTTCTAACTGATTTTATAATTGTTATTTGATGCCGTTATATTTTATATTTTGTATAGTATTTTATATTACCTATATTAGTATTAGTTTAGTATTTTGTTAAGTATTTATTTTGCTGTTTTTATTCTAATTAATATTGTATTTTTTTTTAATGGGGTTACCCGTGAATAAATAAATAAATAAATAAAATAAATAACATAACATAACATAACATAACATAACATAACATAACATAACATAACATAACATAACATAACATAACATAACATAACATAACATAACATAACATAACATAACATAACATAACATAACATAACATAACATAACATAACATAACATAACATAACATAACATAACATAACATAACATAACATAACATAACATAACATAACATAACATAACATAACATAACATAACATAACATAACATAACATAACATAACATAACATAACATAACATAACATAACATAACATAACATAACATAACATAACATAACATAACATAACATAACATAACATAACATAACATAACATAACATAACATAACATAACATAACATAACATAACATAACATAACATAACATAACATAACATAACATAACATAACATAACATAACATAACATAACATAACATAACATAACATAACATAACATAACATAACATAACATAACATAACATAACATAACATAACATAACATAACATAACATAACATAACATAACCTAACTTAATCTAACATATTTAACCTTTTTTTTTCTGGGAGAGAGGAAACCGCATGGCACCCTGACACTGTGTTCAGGGTAGTGTGGGGGCGCTACTCCCACTAAAACCCCCCTAGCCTATCCTAACCTCGGAACTGTCGATTAAACTTGCATCGAGGTAGGCTCTCTTCTTTAGCCCCGGTTTTGTCTTCCTTCTTCTTCCTTTTCTTTTATTATAGACAATACAAACCGGTAGCATACTTCCCATGTTTCCTTGTTTTCTAACATGAGGTCAATAAGTTCTTCCGGGCTTATCCTATTTAACCCCAGTTGCTGTAGCAACTGTCCTCTCTCCTCGGCCCATCTCTGGCAATCGAATATCGCATGCTCTGGGTTGTCTACCTCCGCGCAGTGCGTACATTCGTTCGTTACCGTCTTACCGATTCTGTGGGTGTATCCAGCAAAGCTACCATGTCCTGACAGGAATTGGGTCATAAAATAGTTGGTCCGTCTCCACTTACACTTTACCCACTTTGCCACATCCGGGATGAGGCGCTTGGTCCATTGGCCGGTGTTTGTGTGTAGTTGCCACCTATCGGCCCACAGGTTTAAGGTTTCCGCCCTTTCGTATTCTCTTACTGCGTCAGTTACCTCGTTATGTTCGTAGAGCCTGCACCTCTCCGCTATCAGCAGATCAATCGGGGGGATGCCCGCTATCACTACCGTAGCTTCTGTTGACAACGTCCTATACCCACTTATTACACGCAGTATCATCCTCCGTTGCGCGGACAGCATCATGTTGCGGTATTTATTCAACCGCATTGCTTCCTTCCATATGGGAGCTGCGTACAGCATCACGGAGCACGCCGCCCCGTACAAGATCCTCCTCTTGCCATGACCTGGACCACCTATGTTTGGGAGTATCCTGGATAACGCCGCCGTCTGCCTATTTGCTTTTCCGCATGTTCTTTTAACGTGCTCGTTGAAGATGAGATTATCGTCCAGCCATACCTCCAAGTACTTCACTGCCCTGGACGGTGTTATGTTGACGCCTCCTACATTGAACAACAATTACGCATTCTGTTTTCTCTGCCGCAAGGGCCAATTTCTGTTTCTCCAGCCACTTAGAGATTTCGTGTATGGCCCAGTTCCCCCTCGACACCACATCTTCCATCTCGTCCGCCTTTACGACCAGTGCCAGATCGTCCGCGTATGCTACTGTTGTGCAACCAGTGGGTAACTCCAGATTCAGGATTCCATTATATAAAACGTTCCATAGCAGAGGTCCTAGAACGGATCCTTGGGGGACTTCTTTCGTGATCTTCTTGCATTCTTTCCCTACCAGGATGGTTCTCTCGTTGAAGTATTCTTTAACAAAGTTTACCAAATATGCGTTTATGCCCATCCTCTCTAGTTCCTCAACTATTATACTCCATCTGGCCGTATTGAAGGCATTTTTGATGTCTAGTAGTATGACGACCCCCCATACCTTCCTTCTGTCGTCTGCCTCTTTGACCACCCTCTTGATCGCGTCCATTGTCGAGTGGCCGCCTCGGAACCCGTACTGTGTGTCCGCTATCCCTTGTCTTTCTTTGATCTCTATATCAATCCTAGCCTTGATCAGGTGCTCCAGGAGTTTTCCTACCACGTCTAGCAAACATATGTGCCTGTACTTTCTTGGAGTTTCTCGGGGGTCACCCTTAGGGATAAACACGGCCTTAGCTGTTTTCCAGAATGTCGGAATTTCCTTTCTTGCCAGTACCTCGTTTACAACCTCCAAGAGTGCCTTAGGGACCACTTTTACACATAACAACGCATTCTGGCGTTATGCCATCCGGTCCGGGGGCTTTTCCATTCTTCAACTTATCGGCCGCCTGTTGCAGTTCTTTAATTGTAAAGGGTGTTGGCCTGGGGCATTTCATTTTGCCCTGTATAGGCTTGTCTTTGATAGACGGGAAGAGTTGGTCCGCCAGTTTGCATCTCTCACTCGTCTTCAGTTCGTATGGAGTCTGCATGTATTTAAATTTGCCCATGACCGTTTTGTATCCTGCCCCAAATGGGTCTACCTCCAGGGCGTCACGTAGTTCTCCCCATCTGGCTGCTTTCGATTGTGTTATTTCTTTTCGCAATCTCTTTCTCAGGTCCTTATACCGGGTTTCTAGGTCAAATATCGCGTCTCTGTCCTGTCTGCTCCTTAGCCTTGTGAGCCTTCGTCTCACCTTGGTGCATTCTACTCTTATTTTCCCGACGGACTCGTTCCACCAGCAGGGGAGGTTCCGAGCTCCCCGCCTTGTAGTGGTGCAGGATATCTGCGCCGCCTTCAACCTGTCTATGCATTCTGTAGCACTCAGGCCTTCCATCAATGTGAGTTGTAGTACATCCTTTAGCGCCGTTTGGTCGAGGAACCTTTCCTTCAATTCTCCTTTTCCTGTTCTCTCCTTGCTCTTTATGCCAATTTTCACTTCAAATGTGATGCATCTGTGAAGACTGAGTGTCTCTACTTCCGGGTGTACCTGCCAGTTTGCTGCTTGGCAGTTGGCTGAGCATATAGTAAGGTCTATAAACGACCTTTGTGATCCCCTTACGAAGGTGGGTATTACTCCGTCGTTTAGGACTGAAAGGTCCAGAGAGTCTAGCCATTCATTGAGATATTCTCCCCTTCTGACCTCAAGGTCCGAACCCCAGGTGCTAGATTTGGCGTCTTCCATGAGCCCGTCTATATATCTTTTGTAGGTGTTTAGATCCGTGTTGGGAGAGATGTAGCAGTTGTACACTGTGCTCCTCCGAAAGCATAACTTGATGTATCCATCACAGGTCTTATGGGATACTATACCGCAGTTCCTGTTGTTACAGTAGATAGCCACGTCTCTTCTGTTGTCTGTTATCCACCTGGGGTCCTTTTTGGTTTGGAGAACGTTTGGTTCCTGAACGAGGATCACATCGATGCCTTTTTCTTTGACAGTGAGGATCACCATATCCCCTGCATTCTTTCGCTTATCCACATTCACCTGGAGAAGTCTCAAGGGTGTGTTATGTGTCATCTTAGAATTGTGTTGGAAAAAACAATAATTATTGTATAAATAAAATATAGATCTATAGATTAAAATATAAAGAAAAAAGAATATCACATTTGCTTATCAGTCATTTCCAGTCGACGGCAACGTGGTGTTGGTTGTCGTTTCCTTTATAGCCACCGCATTGGCACGGTTTTCGCCCGTTAGGTCCTCCATCTCCCTTTCGGGTATTAATGTCCGAGGTCCCGGGCTTGCTCGTGCTATCTAGGGCCATCACGGTGATCTTGGCTTCTTCCGCAACGCGGTCGAAGTCCTTCAGCACGTCGTTTAACATAATGTCGCTGTCCTTAGGCTTGCTGACCTCTGACTTTCCGGCGGCAAGCTCCCAGATGGTATCTCTTCTCATTCGCCCTGTCGTGCTCTACCTTCTGGTCCTATTTGTCCCTACTCTCGCATCCCCGAGGGCCTTTTTGAAAATCGGGCATTTGGTGTTGTCAGACCTATGTCCCTTTACCTTACACAGGGGGCATGCTTCTTCCCCGTCACAGTCTTTGGCGGAGTGCCCTGGCTCCTAGCACTTAAAGCAGTTCTCGCTTCTGTCGGGGCCTTGACAGTTCCTTGTTTCGTAGTCGTGAGACCAGCACTTAAAGCACCTCTCAATCCTGTGCCACTTTTCAACCACGCATTTTACCAGGCCTACGCGGATGTACCCGTCGGCAATCAGTTTTTTGGCCGCTTCTGGGTCCAACGTGACTGTTGCGGCTGCCGTGTTGTTCCGCACTGAGCGAATTTCACTGATTCGGCAGTTCTCGTCCCAGTTTCCTACTGCTTTCTCTACTGCGTCCTGAACGCCTTTCTTCGTCGAGCTTTCCTGCAGTCCTCTTATGTTCACTACCTCCATGTCCCGTCTTGTTAGATCTTTGGTCTTTAGCTCCGATGTCTCCCTCAGCAAGTTTCCTATGTTAACCATAGCTTCATGGTCATTTTCCAGGGTTAGAAGCAACTTCCCGTCCCTCGTGCTCCTTATGGTCCTCACTGCCTCTTTTTTTCACTGGTGCCCAGTACTTTTTTGACCGTGTCCAGGATCCCTGGGAAGCCTTTCTTCCCTTCACTTATGACCATACTGTACGTAGGTGCAGGTTTCTTTTCTTTCTCCGCCGATCCACCCTTGAAACTTTCGGTTGTGAAAATCGTTATTTGGTTTCCCGAGTCCCGGAAGACTGCCTGCACAATCTTCCTTAGCCTGTCCAGGTCAAGGCCTCGCACATGGTGTAATGCTATTTCACGATCTTCTACTACGGCCTCTTTAAGGCGTTCTAGCTTGCTCTAGATGTCTCTGGGTGTACCGTCATGAGCTATTTTTACGATCTTTCTACGCGATACCTTTTCTTTTTGGGGGGTGAGCCTAGTCAACTGCTCCATAACCTCGAAATCGCACTTTATTTCGGAGAGCTCCGGGTACTTATCCCTGTTTATCCTCTGTATGCTTGCGTTCATATCCGGGTCTTCTGGTTCCACTATAACCACTTTGACGGAGGCGTCCGGGGTGCTAATCGGATTTCCCACTACCACTTCTGTGTTGGTGAACAGCGTATCCTCCCAGTCGTTTTCCGCGAGCTGAGCGAATTTCTTGTAGTCATCTACCCCCTCCAGTGATTTCAGGACCTCGTTTTCGCATACCCATGGGTCCATTTGGGTCGCTATCTCGGCCGTGGCTACTCTGATTGTTTGGCACTCTATGTCTATGGCCACCTTCTCTATAGGTGCGTACCTGTGGCTTTGCAGCCATGACTTAACCGACACTCTTTTGTAGACATCTACGTTTCTTACTATCTTGCTAGCGATTTCCTTAATTCCCTTTTGTGTGTTAGGGTGCAGTTCTTCGGCTAGCTGTAGGCTTCGCTCCATTGCCTCGTCTAGGACGAAGAACTCGGGATACTCTATCCTGTTGTATGGATCCTCATCCTCTACGTAACTCCTGTCGGGCCTTTTCCTTTTTTTAAATATTCCTTCACTTACTGAGTTACATCGGACCACCCTAGGTATCGAACTTGTCCAATCTACTTTCTTCTTGGTCTTACTACTCTCGTTTCCAGGTTTACCGCCCTGGTCTTCCTTCGTAAGGTCAATGCTCCCCTCTTGTTTGTTGTTTGTTGAATTTGTAATCATAATTTATCCCACGAGTTGGGCTGAAATGTATTTAAGTGCGGGCAGTGCACCCATACCCGCACCCAGGCCTTGCCGAAGCCTACCCCACGCCGCGCTCTCGCCCTAACGGTGGGGGTCGTTATTGACTCCTCTTCCCTGGAGCTATGCACACCCTCGCCACGACTTTCCAGCTTGGTGTTGGGGTTTTGTCCTTTTTCTCGCCGGTCGTCATCGTTCATCCATTGGTTTTCTGTCGGGGTTTTCCTTCCCTTAGCCGATGGGTCCCCGTTTTATGCCGCCGGGAACTCGCCATTCGCCCTCCCTATCTGGGTCGGACTTGTCGGTTTGCTTTGGTTAGCTGGGCATAGTGTTCTTGATACTGGCATTTATTGGTGTCGCATTATCGGCATAAGTGACCCCACCAGTGCCCCACCGACCGTTTTGGGCTGTTTCTCGGTTTCGCTACCTGCTCCCGTCCCGGAGGGCGCGAGAACAGGGAGCTACTTAACCCCTTTACCAACGGTAAGGTGTTACAGCCCCTAGGAGGGGAACCTATTTAACCTAACCTAACCTAATTTAACCTAACCTAATTTAACCAAACCTAACCTAACCTTTTTTAAGGTGGGAAATGCTCTTACGCACACCCAGCCTGGGTGTTATTGGCTGGGTAGTATGGAACTCGCAGCGTGGTCTATGCCATACCCACTAAAACCCACCTTGTTCATCGCCAGCGTCCCGGTATCGTCGCGAGACATATATTCAGGTACGCTGGTGGCCTGATCAATTTTCTTCGGCTTCGAGTCGTTCTTCCTTTTCTTTCTCTTTCATTACTTTTTGTAGAAAAATTTTTGCTAGATCTTTCTCGTCCTTTATATTTTTTATGTTGTTTGTTATCATTTTTGTTCGTTCAGCATCGCTCGTTTCCCTTACAATTTCTTTTTCGCAGGCTTGGGTTGCAATGCTCTGACTCTTTATGGGCCACCGGCATCTCTACCGTATGGTCTATTTTGGACTGTTTGGCCAAGTGGATTTTCTCTTCTCTTAAGTGTTCTTCAACACTTTCCCACTTTTGGTTTAGCCTGTGAATTAGGGATTAAAGTTTTTTTGTGTTGTCCTTTATTTCAACTTTTGTGTTAACAACTTCTTTTGTCATTTTGTATAGGGCATATCCCTGCTTTTGGAGTTCCCCTAACATCTTTGTGAAAGGTCCTAGGTGCAGATCCTTTTCGTTTGGAGGCGTGTATACCCTTTTTCTTTTTGCATCGTCCTTTATCCTTTTGGTCCGTCTTGGCTTTCCTCTAGATCTTCGCTTTCCGAATCAAATATTGTGATACCAAGTTTCTCCCCGAGCCTGTATATTGGGCTATCATCCAACTCTTCGTCTATAAATCCCGCATCTTCTGCTTTTGGCGTGGAGAAGACCTCAGTGTCTAAGAGATTTTTCCTAGCCGGTGATCTGCCTATTGAATCCCTTCTTTTAAACGGGTCTTCTTCATCCATCAGGTTTAGTACTGGAGTATTAATGTCCTCAATCTCCTTATCCGTCATTTTTTGGTTTTTTGTTTTAGTTAAGCTCATCCTTGTTCCCACGAGTCGGGCAGAAATAAAGGTCCGGCGGGGTAGTGCTTCCATACCCCGCTAAGGCTTAATACTCCGGGAGTTCGCCTGGTTCCCGGAGGCAACGTTCATGACCGCGTCCATGCGGCCATGCATCCCTCGGCACGATGGCTTCCACCTTGGATTCCGGCTTTTTTTCGGCTAGTCTCCTCCATCCTGGTTTTCTATCGGGGTTTTCCTTCCCTTAGCCAACGTGGTCCCCGTTTTATGACGTTTTTTCAGGTGGAAATGCTTTAAGCACACTGTCTACCGGTTCTACCCTTCGAAAGTAGTGTGGGGCTCCCGGTTCTATAGTGCAGGTCCGGTTTACCCACTAAAACCACCTCTATAATGCCCATCCTAGCATTATGGTATTTATCCCTGTTGGGATTTCCCTCATAATGTCAGTGGAACTATTTCCTTCCTTCCTTATTTCTTAATTTCTCCCCTCTCTATCTTCTTTTTCTTTGCATGTCATCACCTCCTTTATGAATTTGTTTATGATTTCCCATTTTCCCTGTTTTCTATCATTTTGTTTGTCATATTTCTCTCTGCTACCAATTCCTCAACTGCCAGTTCCATCAGGTATCTTTTGGCATGCCATCTTTCACATCTAAAAAGGGTATGCGCTGGATTGTCCGCTTTCCCGCAATATATGCATTAAGGTTTTTTATTCTTTTGGTGTAGCTTCCAAAATTACCGTGTCCCGTCATTGCCTGGGTAAGGAAGTGCTCGGTCGTTCTGTGGGTGCATTTTGCCCAGGTCCTTACGTCTTTTATTATTTTTCTGGTCCATGCTCCTGTCTCCTCCTGTGTTTTCCACTGGTTTTGCCATTTTTTGTAGGTCTCGTCTCTCTCCTGTCTTTTTGCTACCTCCGTATGGCCGTCCGCCCTCTTGTGTATTCTGTGGCGCTCATCTGCCAGCAGGTGAATGGGAGGCACCCTGATTATCACTTGTATTGCCGCCACCGATGTCGTCCTATATGCCATGGCAACCCTCAATAGGATTTTTCTTTGGGCACTGATCAGCATATTTCTATACTTTTTATACTTTGTCCATTCCGACCAAACTGGTGCTGCGTACAGTATGATGGACTGGACTACGCCGTATAGTAGTATCCTTTTCTGGCTACTCGGCCCCCTATATTTTTGGTTATCTTTATCATTGCTACTGTTCTGGTCTATGCTTTTTCTGTAGCGTATTTGACGTGATGACCGAGGTTCATTCCATGGCCCATGATTACTCCCAGATATTTTATTTTCTTACTGGGCTCTATGCATGCACCCATCACTTCTATGTTTAGGCCATCTTTTTACCCGTATCCTTTTAGTATGACCAGTTCGTTTTTTTCTGGTGATAATTTTAGCTCGTCATTCCATCCACCTACTGACTACGTCAGTTGCCATGGCTGCTAGGTGGTTGAGATTTTCTATGTCGTTTGCATGTATGATCATTGCGATGTCATCTGCATAGGCAATCAGTCTTGCGTGTTCTCCTAGCTCAAGCCGTAGTACATCGTCATAGAGGATGTTCCACAGGGTCGGTTCCAGCACCGATCCCTGTAGGGTCGGTTCCAGCACCGATCCCTGTGGGACTCCTTTAGTGGTTTTCTATCGCTCAGGTAGCTGTCAATCAAATAGGTAGAGGTACTTTGATATATTTATGGCTGTTAGTTTTTCCAATATAAGCTCTCATGATGCGCTGTTGAAAGCATTTTTAACGTCCAACTGCAGCATCACTACCCACCTGGCTCTAGTGCTCTTTACATGCTTGGTCACTTCTTCCACCGCCTGTACTGAGGAGAACCCTTTCCTAAAGCCAAATTGGTTTTTTAACAGTCCGTCATTTATTTCTAGTTCCTTCTCTAGCCTTGTCTTTATCATCTTTTCGAATAGCTTCCCGAACGTGTTTAAAATATATAGTGGTCTATATGCCTCTGCTGTTCTTTTAGGTTTCCCCTGCCAGTATTACCTGGGTCTCTTTCCATGTTCGGGGGAATGTTTGTCCTCAAAAGTTTATTAAAAAGTTCCAGGATCAACTGGGGTCTTCTTTTAGCTATGATTATCACTGCCTACGGAGAGATTCCATCCGGTCCTGCTGCAAGTTTTGTTTTTATTTCTGATGCTGCCTTTTCAAGTTCTTCCACCGTGAATTTAATGATCGGTTCTTTGTTTGTTCTTATTATGCTAGTCCTTATCTCCGCTGCTGGGAAGAGTTCTTTGCACCAGGCGAGCTTCTGTTCTTGGGTCGGGTTACACGGGGAATCTTGCCTTCCGGCGGAACGAGTTGCAATCTGATACCCTTGTCCCCATATATCATTTTCCAGTTCGTCACATATATTTTTCCAGGCCTGTTTTTTCGCCTTATTTATCATTTTTTTGAGGTCCTTCCTGAGAATGTCTGCTAATTCCGTTATTTTTAACAGTTCTGGTGCCTTCGCGGGGAGTCTTTTCGTTAACCGTGTTTTTATCCGCCGTGCCGTTATAGCTTCCTTTTGGTGGTCTCTTATCTCCTGTGACCACCAATACACTTCGTTTCTTGTTTCGTCATGCGCGTTTTTGTGCTCTTTTTGTCACTTCCACTAGGGCCTTAATTATGTCATTTGCATTGGGGTAGGTCACCCTTAGATCTTTTGTCATGTTTTTTATTAGTAGTCTTGCGTCTATTCGTCTTATTTGCATTTGTTTTTTCTGTTTACAGTTGTTGTTGTTTAGAATTTCATGTGATGTATTTATGGTAGGTGTTAACTTGTAGATCTAGTGTTTTCCATGAGCCTATTTTTCTCGCAGTTTTTTTGTAGCACAGGTGATATCAATGTGTGATTCGCATTTCCCTATGACAAAAGTCGGTTCTCCAGTATTTATGCTTTCCATCCGCAGTTCTGCTATCCAGTCTTCTAAGTAGCTACCCCTTGGATCCGTTGCCGGTGCGCCCCAAAGTGGAGATTTTGCATTTAGGTCGCCTGCGATGATCGCTTCATTATCTTTTTTCTATTGTTCATGATGTTGTCCAAGTAGGTCTGGAATTCGTTTAAGGTTTTGTTTGGCGAGAAATAGCATCCGTACATGCTAAAATGTTGGAATTCTAGCTTGACATAGCATTCTTCTAGTTGGTGTCTTATAATTCCGGCGTTTTTATTTACCACATAGACTGCTACATCATTTTTTTGCGATTTTTTTGCGATATTCACATTTGGTTCTGATATGTTACTATATCTACTTCTTCCTTCTTCGCCATGGAAAACACTAGATCGTGGGCCGCTTTTGACCTACCTAGATTAACTTGTAAACACTTCATTATTTTCAAAGTCCGCGCTCTCTCTTGTTGTGGTCCTTCGCGTTGGCCTCCGTCTGGCCTTTTTTGGTTCCTCGATTTCTTTCTGTTTCTTGCTTATTTCAGTTCTAAAGGCAGGGTCTGCTCGGTGT